TGTCCTGCACCTTCCGGCCGTGTCAGATTACCGTTCCATAGGACTATGACAGTGAGGGAATAGAAAGTGCACCTGTGCTTGCGCATTCACTCGGGCACTATAATCCTGTCTTGCGCAAATGGCTAGTCTTCGTTGAGACTGGCCATATCTGACTCGAAATTCATTAATAAAATGGAGATGTTTATATTAAGTCAAATTGAGAATTGCGGTGTTACCTGCTCGTCAGTGACGGTGGGGCAGACGACCGGCGCGCCAGGCACTATGGGGCAAAAAAGAAAAAAGTAGTAAATTACTATTAGCGTCCTCTCAACTTCAAATGACCTTTCCAAAATATGTAAAAATGTTAAATGAATGGTAGTTTTGTTTTATTTATTAGGTTGGGAAGACCCAAATAGTTATATGCGTCTTTCCTTCGATGTTTTTGTGTTGCCAGGTGTATTTTTTAATCTAAGATGAAAAGGAAAATTCGTTTTATTTAAATAAATAAACAAATTTAAAAAAATAATAAGTTCGTCCTTAAAATCTTCATGTCTCTACGTATATTTCAATATAGATACCTTTTAATATACTTTAGACACGGGGTCTGAAAGAAAAATTCATCAATTTATTTTTTATTTCCATTTTACGTTTTTGTTAGTTACTTCCTTTTTTATTATGACGGCAGAATGCCTAACCCTGTCGCCTCACGCTTGTGACGCAGTAGGTTTCAGGTGTTGATTTTGTACACGCGTGCGCGAGCGACAGTTCAATCGTTTTGTTTAATAAATTTACTTGTGATTACGTGTTGATATTAAAGTTTTTGTTACGTTTTTGGATTCTTTTTTGTTTTAATAATGCCTAACGCGTACGTTTATAGTGGTTATTATACTGCCGTTGGTTATTATATCAGCAACAACGTGTGCCTGGTTCCATTGATCACATTATCTGGACGGATGAGTCGACATTTACCAGAAACGGCCTGTGGAACCGAAGAAATACACACGTGTATTCAGAGGTTAACCCGCACGCTGTTCGACAAACCGGGCACCAAACCCGATGGTCGGTTAACGTATGGACAGGTCTATTTAAGGATCGCATACTGGGACCAGTGTTTCTGCCAGAGCGACTGAACGGACAGCGATACCTAAACTTTATAAATGAACAGTTGGTTGACATTTTAAACGACCTATCGTTGGCTGAATATCGCCGCACATAGTTCCAACATGATGGTGCCCCTCCACATTTCGTGAGGTTCGTCCGTGAGCGCCTCAATGAGCTATTTGATGATCGCTGGATCGGCAGACTAGGACCACACGCTTGCCCACCTCGCACACCAGATCTGACTCCGTTAGACTTCTTTTTGTGGGGTATGTGAAAGAAAGGGTTTTTAATCGTGAATGTGATAGTGCTGAAGAAATGCGCCAAAGGATCGTGGATGCTTTCGAGAAACTACGTACGGACTGTGTCGAAGACCACACGATGATGCCCCGCCTGCACCCAAGTCTGCCTTGAAATGAATGGAGCACAATTTGAGCCGCATCTCATAAGACCACGGAGGATTTAGAGCAGTAAGCTGTTTCATAACTATTTTTTTTAAATAACTTAGTACTAGACTAATCTGAATAGGTACATAACTGAATACACGAGAATAATAAACATACCTACACGATGAATAAAAACGCATGACTCCAACCTTGGTTACATTTCATTTAAGTATTTCTTCATTAGCGGGGAATCGAACCAGTTATTTGGGTTATTTAACCTGTAAATTCGGATTAAAGTGGCTACGTGGAGATAAGCACAGTGGCAAAATAGTAGGTTAAGTAGATAAGTTAGGTATTTAGACACGTGTTGTAAATTATTAGGTATTGTGGGAAGGCCCGCTAGTTGCGGGCCGCGCGATTTTGTGTTCGCGCGTACATTGACCTTTATCTAGCTCAGGTCAGGTGATATCAATTCAGTCATTCCACTGCTGGTTTTATGTTTCAGTATTTTCATGATATTTTTTATGAAATTATCGTTTCATTTAGCTGTACTAACATGATGGCGCGTGAATAAAGCTAATAAAACCTTGTAAAAAGATGATTTTTTTTTCATCAGGATCGAATTTATTTGTGACCCATGATCAAAGGTATACTTGGTGTTGTCGCCTGTCTTAGTTTTCGGGAGCGTTCCAAAAACACCCTGTATATATATAAAGGTAATGTAATATATCATTCTACCTGACTATCTCTCCTGCTCTGTAAACTTATGACCACCTTCATTACATTGAATTGCTTATAATTTTGCTTATAATTTATCTACTAGATTGTTCTTTTTCCTTTTCTTCTAACAACAATACACCTACCATCAAACAATATAAGGGAAACCTGTTATTGGCCATACTTTTAGTTTGTTACATTAATGTTAATATTTTCTATATACGCTGTTGGTTTTCTAAATAAATAAATAAATAAATAAATAAATATATGATGTAATTATCTTTCAGTTCACCTGTAAAAACATATTGCACTGTTTAGACTGCGCTTCTGCAATATAGATAGTTTATTAAAGTAAGATTGTTTTATTCTAGATGGATGAAAATGCACCAATATGTTCACAATGTTTTGCAAACAATTACAAGAATTATCTGTCGGCACAAATCATGAAAATGAGCTCCAGCGCCCTAATGCCAATATTATTAGTATATTGTATGTTTGGTGTCAACGAAGACTGGGCAGCAGATAAGTTGTGACCCAACTAATATCACCCCAACAAGACTCTGTTTTAATAAGAGGCCGTATAAAATCTCGCCATCACTCGGACAGAGCTTATTATACATATATACTGTTGGCGAGACAAGGGACAAGTTGGGATGAGATGATTACAGGTTATTATTGCAGTTGACTGTTGGCGAGACAAGGGACAAGTTGGGATGAGATGATTACAGGTTATTATTGCAGTTGCACTTCTGGACAACAGACAGTGGGTTGCTGTGCCCACATAATGACCGTTGTCTGGTATTTGTGTTGGGCTCGGTATCAAAATTCCATAACCGTACCGGTCTCAATTCTGGATGGCGTTTTAGTAAGAGAGGATTTTGAAGTAGGATAAATAAATAAAAAATTTAAAAAATTAAGCTGTTTTATTTATATTACCTTGAGTATCCAAAACATGATTGACCTAATGTTTCACTTTCTATAATTCATAGGACTGTTAACCTTTGTTATGACATTATCCTGGCTTTAAATATCTGTCAAGGCTCAAGACATACTCTGACACGCTGAGGACCTGTTATATGAATATATTTGTACGCCGAAAGCGTATTTAGGATGCAAATTCTTTTGTAACAACTGTAATGTACCATATTATAACAAATACATTATATTATCTATGATTGTACTCTAGCACTTCAGCAGCCCAGATGACACATATACTTGAACAGAAATTAGTATTCAGGATTATTCTGTTTATCCACCTTAAAACAGCCACTCTAAAGTAAAATAAGTTAAATATATTCTTTATTATTAGTACAATAAAGTAGTATCTCGGCTTTGAGCTACCTGGCACAAAACTTTTCTAAAAGCTAACAAAACACTTAGGCCTCATTTCCCCATGTAAAACAAAAAAGGCCTGAATGCCCCTGGCACTGAAGTGTGCATTAGTACACACTAATGAATGCAATGAAATAATTTTGTGTGTAGACACCGTTGATTTATCTCAACAATCTTCTTGTCTGGAATTAGGTAGTACTTTTTACAATTGTTATACAAATATCAACAAGAACGTTAGTTGTTTTAAGATCAAAAAAGGATATACACAATCTTTATTACACTTTATTCGTGTTTTGATCAAAAAATAAAACTTTCTTGCCTTACTTTCCTACTAGTGTCGAGACATTTTAGCTATTTTACATAATAAATCTACCTGATAGGTTATAGGTGATATCAGAGATATCAGAGATGACAGCTAACGTCAAATCAAAACGACTTCTTTTTTTTTTGGAGTTTATGTCCTGGTATCTAGACCTTTAGGCCAAGTCTTGAGTATTTTTATTCGGTTTATTATAATTTCCCAAATGTATAATTATCCTTCATAGTTCACTGCTTCACAATATATTGATGCGTCACATTGTGCAGCCCTTGGGAGATTTTGACGGCAACTTGAGCCAGCAGACAGCTGACAGTTGGCGATGGTATCTAAAGGCGCCTATGCAGACAAACAGCTTATCTTGAGAATCCATCACCATCAGAGCACTTGTTTCACCGTTTCCACTAATAGTTCACATGCGTAGACAGTTAATACATAAAATCGCACCACTTTTACATATCAAAATCCACTTCAAACTATTATTTAAACTATAATACAGGAGCAGCAAACCGCCGCCGGTAAAGTTCCCGCCAAAACTCCCAAAACGACTTCAATCCGCCATTAGTGTTGCAGTTTTTGGTGAGAATAAAATATTAATACCACTGAAATTAAGGCAAATTCATGGATTTAAATGATCAAAAGTGGTTTAATATTTTATTTTAATTCATTTCCATACTAGTACATAAACTAGACCTACGCTTCATACAATTTTGGACCGTCTCCTTTCATTGTTTTAGTTGTAACTACCGCAGTTTTACCAACGTCTTGCAGAGCAACGTTGATAAAATAAAGGATAGGCTTTATTAACATCTAATTTTCTGAAACTCTTTACATTACAACATTATTAAAATAATGGGAAGTAGTATGGTAGGATAAGTAGTAAGGCTCTATGTGTTAGGTTTCGTATAATATAATTATACACGAAGACTTACAACGTCCCGTCAAGTTTTAGTGTACTGACAACTGAGTAAATTATACTTGATATTGTCATAAAGATAATTTCTCTTTGAATACTGAACAAACTTAAGTCTTATAATTTGCTTACACATTATTTTTGAAACAGTTGCACCGAAATTATTTTAAGAGATAATTTTATGATGGCAGTCATAATTTATTAATATTTTTATTACAATGAGTTTAAGAAGAGCTTTGACTTTAAGAAGACGTTTTATCTACAACATGTTATTAATTGGTTCAACTCCGAGCCGTTGCAGCTGCAACTGCAGCCACTGCGCGTGCATCTGTATCTTTCCTAGCTTCGCGGAACCTTCAATACAAACTTGTCGCACCACACCAGTGATCACTAGCCCACCCTGTAAAATGTGAGGAAATTCGATTAAAAACATGTTCACAGTTTTTATTAAATGAATTAAAACTACCTATAGCATATAAATAGCATACGAGTATAATAAGTTGCCGTGTAGTGGCGGTCAAGAATACCACTACCCCATATCCTCCCGTGGGTGTCGTAAAAGGCGACAAAGGGAAACAGGCAGGAGATGGGCAGCAGCATCTTCCTGATAATAGCCAAAATTACAATAAAAAAACTGCGGTTGCCAACCCGCTCGCCAAGCGTGGCAACTATGGCAAATACCCCCCTATGAATGTAACAAAGAGACGGCCCCCAGTCCCCGGCGGCCCCGCTATTCCTGGTTACGGTGGCGACCATGGTAACGGCGGGGCAGGGGGTGCTAAGAATCTCCGGTGGAGGTTCGGTTGCCATCTTAGACGACTCGACCTGGCAACGTACAACGCACGCACCCTGAGGACTGACGGGAAGATCGTGGAGCTGGAAGAAGAGATAGACAAGTTGCGCTGGAATATTATAGGATTATCCGAAGTCCGAAGAGAGGGGGAGGACAAGGTGATCCTCGAATCCGGCAACTTGCTCTATCACCGGGAGGGCGACCATCTGTCCCAAGGAGGTGTCGGATTTATCGTCCACAAGTCTCTCGTTAACAACGTTGTAAAGATCGGGAGTGTGTCGACGAGGGTTGCGTACCTTATACTCAGAATCACCAAACGGTATTCGCTGAAGGTCATACAGGTTTACGCACCAACCTCGGCACACCCCGATGGGGAGGTGGAGGAAATGTATGAGGATATCTCTAGAGCCATGCATTCCTCCAAACCCCAATATACGGTGTTAATGGGAGACTTCAATGCAAAACTAGGCACAAGAGAGAACGGTGAGCTGAAAGTAGGGAAATTTGGAATAGGGCAACGGAACCCAAGGGGCCAGCAGCTGGCCGACTTCATGGAGAAAGAGGGACTCTTTATGATGAACTCTTTCTTCCAGAAGCGGCCCCACAGGAAGTGGACCTGGTCGAGCCCCGACGGTTCGACAAAAAATGAGATTGACTTCATTATGACGACCAGACGACAACTGTTCAGTGATGTCTCCGTGATCGCGAGGGTGAAAACTGGTAGCGATCACCGAATGGTTAGAGGCACACTGAACCTAAACGTTAAGTTGGAGAGGTCTCGTCTAATGAAATCAACGCTCCGTCCCCCTCGTGCTCTGTTCCAAAGTCCCGAAACCTTTCAGCTCGAGTTACAAAACCGTTTTCAGTGCCTAGAAGACTGCAATGAAGTGGACGATATGAATGACAAGCTCGTGGAAACTGTCCATGCGGTCGGAGCTAAGTTCTGCAAGACCCGCCGCAGAAGAACACAAAAACTCTCCAATCACACTCTTAATCTCATGGCTGTTAGACGGGAGATGAAGCTACATTCTTCAACAGACTTGACAGCATACAGGCATCTGAACAGACAGATCTCCAAATGCATGCGGCGGGACTTACGCAACTTCAATACAGCTCGTATTGAAGAAGCGATCGAGCGGAACCAAGGCTCCAAAGTCTTTGCCAGAGATCTGTCTGCCAGAAAGAGCCACCTGTCAAAGCTGAAGACAGAATGTGGCAGCATCGTTTCCGGGACACCTGAGATTTTGAGTGAGATTGAGAGGTTCTATGGGCAGCTGTACACGTCATCGTTGGAGCCACACGCAAGTGTGAGTAACGATCCAAGAGCGAGTCTCATCCGACACTATTCCGAAGATATCCCGGACGTCAGTCGGAGCGAGATTAGAATGGCTCTCCAGCACCTTAAAAACGGTAGGGCCCCAGGCGAGGATGGAATTACAGCGGAGCTTCTGAAAGCGGGTGGAAGACCGGTACTTGAAGTCCTTCAGAAGCTCTTTAATTCCGTCCTCCATGGTGGCATTACACCGGAGGCGTGGAGCAGAAGTGCGGTGGTCTTGTTCTTCAAGAAAGGTGACAACGCTCTCTTGAAGAACTACAGACCGATTTCCCTTGTGAGCCGCGTCTACGTGCTGTTTTCGAGAGTCATTACGAATCGTCTCGCGCGCAGACTTGACGACTTCCAGCCTCCCGAACAAGCCGGTTTCCGAAAGGGCTTTAGCACCATAGACCCCATACATACCCTTCGGCAAATTGTACAGAAGTCCGAAGAGTACAATTTGCCACTATGTCTGGCGTATGTGGACTATGAGAAAGCCTTTGATTCCGTCGAAATTTGGGCGGTGCTGCAGTCCCTTCAGCGGTGCCAAGTTGACTGTCGGTATATCGAAGTGTTGAAGTGCTTGTACAGTAGGGCTACGATGGCTACCCGAGTACAGAACCAGAGTACGAAACCTATCCAATTGCAGAGAGGTGTAAGACAGGGTGACGTCATATCCCCGAAACTCTTCACCGCTGCATTGGAAGACGTTTTCAAGCTTCTGGACTGGAAAGGATACGGTATCAACATCAATGGCGCGTACATCACTCACCTTCGATTTGCCGACGATATAGTCCTTATGGCAGAATCGCTGGAGGACCTAAGCACTATGCTCAATGACCTCGATAGTGTTTCCCAACGGATAGGTCTTAAGATGAACATGGACAAAACAAAGATCATGTTCAATGTCCATGTCACACCTATGCCGGTAGTTGTTGGGAGCACTAAGCTCGAAGTTGTTGACGAGTATGTTTACCTGGGACAAATAGTCCGACTAGGTAAGTCCAACTTCGACCGAGAGGTCAATCGACGGATTTAACTCGGTTGGGCAGCGTTCGGGAAGCTACGACACATCTTCTCGTCAGACATACCTCAAAACCTGAAAACGAAATTGTACAACCAGTGCGTGTTGCCAGTGATGACTTATGCAACTGAGACGTGGTCCTTCACTGCTGGCCGTATGAGGAAGCTTAAGGTCGCTCAGCGAGCTATGGAGAGGGCTATGCTCGGAGTTTCTCTGCGTGATAAACTTAGGAATGATGATATCCGCAGTAGAACCAGAGTAACCGACATAGCCCAACGGATTAGTAAGCTGAAGTGGCAGTGGGCCGGCCATATAGCTCGAAGAACCGACAACCGATGGGGAAGAAAGGTTCTCGAGTGGCAGCCTCGTACCGGTAGGCGAAGTGTAGGGCGTCCCCCCACGAGATGGAGTGACGACCTAGTAAGACATGCAGGAAGTCGATGGATGCAGGTGGCTCAGGACCGTGCTTTGTGGCATTCTTTGGGGGAGGCCTATGTTCAGCAGTGGACTTGTGAAGGGCTGTAATGATGATGATGATGATGATTATAATAAGTTTAAAGATTGTTTGCGGGTCCTTGTCACTGTTACTGACAGAATAACAGCGCTGTGGCAACTCTGCTGTAACGTCATGCTGAATCATTAGGTCAAAACTTGTTTTATTATGAAGGCTCCTTTTTGTATCGTAGGAGGTATCTTCGAATAAAAATTTCTTCTCTTTCTTTTATAATCATGTTTTTCTATTTTTAATTCAAGAAATTGAAAATATAAGAAAAGGTCGTCGAAAACTTTGAAAAGATCACAAAAATATCTACGGCCACCTACGAGTAACAAAGTGCTAATTCTCTGAGGTTGTTATGCGTTCGCTCGAGCTGACGCGCGCCTTACGTTGACAAAAAGTATTTTTTTCTTATAAGTATTTAGGTAATTTTTATATTTATTTTTGAGTTTTCATTCAAGTATGGCCTCTCAAAAAGCCAAAAGGTACTGCATAAGATGCGGGTGTATAAATAACAATAGAAATGTCAACTTTACATTTTTCACTGTTCCTAAGGATATCGAAAGATAAAATATTATTATTTACAGGTAGATCTAGATAATTAGGTACCCAGTTACTGACGCCATAGTTACAGATTTACTATTTGATTAACGACCCGACCACAGGTACGCAGTTTTGATTTTTTTGTTTATAATATCACAATTTTAGAATAATTTTAAATTTATGTACCTAATTATTTTAATTTTTGTAAGATCAGCTGTCAACAGTGATCTGAACTTGGTTTCTGAATTATTAATTGATGGATTGGTACGTTTTGAACACGCCGTAGAAATAATTGTTTCGAGTCTTGATTTTGTCTAAGTGAAATTAATGTACGTATAACGGCCTCTATTTCTATATAATAAAATGACTACATCGTTGGTCTAGTTGTCGTAAACGTCATTGTTAGTCATGTTACCTATTGGGTTTTCTGTCAAGAAATTCTCAGGAACAGTCCGAAGCCGGGAGGTTAGCGGTGCTTCACCCCCGTGACTCGGAAAGCACGTAAAGCCGTTTGTCCTGCACCTTCCGGCCGTGTCAGATTACCGTTCCATAGGACTATGACAGTGAGGGAATAGAAAGTGCACCTGTGCTTGCGCATTCACTCGGGCACTATAATCCTGTCTTGCGCAAATGGCTAGTCTTCGTTGAGACTGGCCATATCTGACTCGAAATTCATTAATAAAATGGAGATGTTTATATTAAGTCAAATTGAGAATTGCGGTGTTACCTGCTCGTCAGTGACGGTGGGGCAGACGACCGGCGCGCCAGGCACTATGGGGCACGGCGTGACACTGGCAGCGCCGCACGCCACGTCTTTACTGGCGTGAGTCCGCCGCCCACGTGTCCGGCAGTTGCCACTCCGAACCGTCACCGCCGTCTGCACACACCACTTAATTATTATTCTGTAATATTAAATTGGCAAACGAGGCCACAGAACATTTCTGTATGTGTATGAAGTAGACTCGCAGCGAATATTCGGCTATTGTTCGGTATACAGCCTATTCGGATACTTTTATCCTATTCGGTCGAATACTGAATACTAAAATAAAATGTTTTGTTGTAGATAATTGGTAAAATGAAAATATTGATTTATATTATATTTATCTTGTAATCATTAAATTATATATAGGTACATAATCAACTTTCGTATTATAAAAATTAACAAAAGACTATGATGTAAAGTCTATGCACTTCGGTCAGGAAGCCATTGGGTCATGACAGAATTCGATAATCGGCGCGGAGCCGAATATACTATTCGTTACAAGTCTAGTATGAACACCTAAGACCTATTTTCAGGCAAAATATCACAGATGCATGATCGTCTTTGATGATTAAGATTAAAAGCCTCATAACCTATATAATATTGGATCTAAAATCTATAATGTGTCTATCTTCTACCACTGAACATACTACCGGACTAAAGGGTGAAAATGGTCGCGAGATTGGATGAAATTAGTAAAATCAGTAATGGAGTACGAGACTTTCAAATCAAGAAAATGGCAGGGGCTTCAGAAAACATTAGAAACGTGGCGTACTCGATTCTGTGCAGGAGAAGCCAAACAGGTTGATAATAATCAACCTGTCTGGCTACTCCTGCACAGGAGGAGGGAACATAGGAGGAAGCCTTTCCTTTCCAGCAGTTGTTCAGCGACGCTGAGCGGTAATTCGGTATTAAGGGCCTAAATCGCCTTATGTAGGTTCAGTGCGGTCCAAAAAGTGATTGCTAAACGAAAAAAATGGGAGATGACAGATACAACTTGACAATTATTTTTATAAAATTGAAGCGACAACCAACTAACGGTCCACCTGAGGGTACGTGGCTGCTGCAGCCAACGGGCACCTGCAAAAATTTCCAAATGCGTTATTCCATCAGAGGACTAAGATGGAATGCCGCAGTCTGCGATGGTTCGTAGTCGGTAATTATTGTAGCTCTCTAAGCTTTTTCGACCAGAACATTGCGGACTGGAACACGCTTAGCTGTAGAATACGTTTTCATACGTGGTAGAGCCATGCTGCAGCTATATTGTGGTTGTAGGTTGTAGCACGAATGGATCGGCTCGACCGGGGTAGACCCACGCTCTCATTATCAATCAATTACCAGCGCAAAATAGCAGCTTGATGCTGCTGTGTTTTGTATGGTAAGTAAGGATCGGAGAATCTTTTTGCTGGAAATGAGGCATTCCATCTTAGTCCTCAGTCTATTTTTAATTTTTGCAAGGATACCAGTCAGCTGACTGCTGCTGACAAGTGCGCTTTTCGTCGGATGAATACTCCTACTCTGCCGTTGCGGTTGCGGATGTGATACGGCAGGCAATGGAATATTTTGTTCTCTTCTCCGACATCCCGCTCAGTCACAAGGCTCGGCTCTGGTATAATGCGGATTATGTTCGTGCTGAGGCCCGAAAAGAGCCCGCCTATCAGGCGTGGGTTCTAGCTCGTGATTGTAAAGTTAGGCCTCGGAGGGTTCGTGTAAAGAAGAAAAGTATTAATTCTGCTGCCAAGTCCTACAAGCGGGTTCTCCGCTGGACACTTTTCGGCCATATTAGTCGATAGGGACCAGACTTACTTCCTACTCTCCTGGTAGTAAGCAATTTTGGTCCCTGTCGAAGGCTGTCGAATCCAACTTCTGCCGTCCCTCATTGCCACCCATGCAGAAACTTGATGGACCACAGGCTCACACTCTCCGAGAAAGCAAATTTATTTGCATCTGTTTGAGACCAATTCTCGTCTAGATGCTCTAACAACCGCCAACCCTATCTTGCTGTGATTCTTTGATGCCGAAGCCCACTATCCATACAAAAGAGGTACGTAGAGCTTTGCGAAACCTAGACGTGAACAAGGCCAGTGGACCTGATGATATTCCTGTAAGGGTACTAAAGCATTGTGCGCAGTTATGGAAAGGGCACTGATCAGTAATTTGCTGACATTCAAATTCAAATTGCATTTATTTCTGATAATACGAGTATAATACATTTGCAGAATCATTATTATTGACACATTTTATAAATTATTGTACGTACTAAGTTATATTTTAAAATAACAATTCAATTTTATCTTCGTCATCGGTAAGGTTATTATCAGCTTGCCTTTTGGCACAGGCCTCCCCTAGGGTTTTTAATATTTCCCTGTTTGCAGCTTTTCTTTGCCATGTGTTTGCGGCTATTTGCTTGATGTCATCCTCCTATCTTAATTTTTAACGTCCTTTCCGTCTTTTTTAATCTCTAACGTACCATACAGTATCAATTTTTGTCCATTTTCCTCTGTTGTTTCTTATTATATGGCCTGTCCATGTCTATGTAAGTTTTTTCACTATGTATGTGATAACTGTAACTCTTGTCGTGCTTCTTATATTTGTTAGTTTGATTTCCCATTCTGTTTTGACACACTTGTAGTGTCCTACTCTGCTTCTTAGTGAGAACCCAGGTTTGTGTTCCATATATTAAACATATGGTATGCATGAATTGAGCACTGCAGTTTTGTCTTTTATGGGTATGTGTGAGTTCTTCATAATTTCTTTGAGGGACCAGATTCTTTTCCAAGCTTCATTTATTTTGACATTTATTTCTTTCTACATCTAATTTTTTGGTGCAATAATTTGTCCTAAACATGTATATTCGTCGACATACTCTATTTGAGTTGTATTTAGAAAGATAGGTTTTTTTATATTATTTGTCATTACTTTTGTTTTATCTAGATTCATAGTCAACCCTACAATTTTACTTTCTCCTTCTAATTGGGTTAACATTATTTTTAAGCCTTTTTGATTTTCATTGAGCAGAATCAGGTCGTCTGCGAATCTTAGGTGGTTCAGCTTTTTGCCATTTATATTCATGCAAATTAATTCTCCTGAATATGTGTTCCAATACCGCCAAAAACAATTTTGGTGAAAGGGGGTCTCCTTGTCGTACTCCATTTTTATTTTGAACGCTGGACCTTTCTGTATGGATTTTTGATGTTGTTTCATTGAATAATTTTTGATTAACCTATTATACCATGGGTGTGCTCCTTGTGATCTCTGAGCCTCCCATATGTGTGCTTCAAAGAGTTAAACACCTTATTATAGTCTACAAATGTCAGATAGTATTTTTTTCCATATTCGTTGCTTTTTTGAGTAACTTGTTTTACGACATGAATATGATCCATTGTTGAAAAATCACTGCGGAATCCCCCTTGTTTTCTTGGCTGATTTTCATCCAATACTGAGTTGATTCCATTTAATATTACCTTTGCAAATATCTTGCATAAATTGGAGATGAGGCTGATCGGTTTGTAATTATTTATTTCTGCTTTGTCGCCTTTCTTAAGGAGTAATATGATAGTTGATGACGTCCATTGTTGTGGTGTTATTTATTCATTTAGAATATTGTTGAACATATTTGTAATGGCTTCTATAACGTAGTCTAGGCAACCTTTCAGAATTTCGTTTGTTATTCTATGGTCCTCGAGAGCGTTATAGTTTCCTTGAGATACTATGGCTTTTCTTACTTCGGTTTCTAGTATTTGAAGGATGGCCTCTTCATTGTCACCCTGAAAATATTGTATGTTTGTCTAGTCCATGCCATCATATAGTTTGCTATAGAATTCTGTCGCTATGTCTATGATTTCGGGCCGTTTTGTTCCTGTCTTCCTAGATATCTTATTTGTTATGCATAGGATCCATGAAGTGTTCTCTTTCAACTCTTTTAGGGTTCTCTTTATTTCTCCCGATTTTTTAATGTGGTGTTGAATAATCCTGTTTCTTATTTAGTTTCCTGTGTAACATGATTTTTTCATTTATCTGTTTACTAAACTGCATTCTTTGATTTTATTTTGTTTTCTGTTTTCTGCCGACTTCCAAAAAGGAGACGGTACTCAATTCGACTGTATGTTTTTTATGTGTGTCACCTCATAACTTTGTACTGGGTGAACCGATTTCGATGATTCTTTTTTATATGAAAGCTGATAGTTCTCGTGTGGTCCAATATGAATTTGATCAAGGTCAAACCAATGGTTATTAAGTTATTCTTAAATAACTTATATTGAAGTCGCTTATATTGAAGTCGGCTGTACAAAATTTTTAATTATCTAAAATAGATTTTCTAGCTCCTATAAGGCGTCTTGCTTCCTTTCTGATTTTATCTTTCATGTTCTTTGAGGTGTACAGTTTTGTAGATATTTCTTTGGCTCTTTCTGCCAGATAGATTTCTGGCAAAGACTTTGGAGTCTTGGTTACGCTCGATCGCTTCTTCAATACAAGCTGTATTGAAGTTGCGTAAGTCTCGCCGCATGCCGCATTTGGAGATCTATCTGTTCAGTTGCTTGTATGCTGCCGAATATGTTAAAGACTGCAATTTTTTTCCTCTCTAACAGCCATGAGATTAAGAGTGTGATCGAAGCGTTTTCATAATAATAATTATAAAGATTTTTATTTGTCTCAACTAACACATGGTAGTTAAAAGTGTACAAAAAAAATATCACAAACTTATCTAGAAACATACTTAAGTAACATAAAAGTAATGAGACAAACTGGCCTGTGACTCAGCTATGTGGTGATTTGAGGTCAAGTCGGCTGTGGTAGAATATCAGATTCTGCCACAGCCGACTTTTAAAAAACACACTATCTTAACCTAATTTTGGCACAGACGTGAAATAACGTAAAGAAAAGACTGAAATGTATAATCATATGTGCTATGTAAATCGGCAAATTTATACGAGTATATGATACTTAATACCTGCCTCTTCTGTAAAGGAGGAGGTATATTATTCCAAATTTTGGAGGCAGCATATTTGAAACATCCTTTCACTTTAACACGGTTATAAGTTAGAAGTATTTATAATAGTTTCGTCACCCCTTTGTCTCAAACGTGTTATTTGACATTTTGGGGATAATTTTTCATA